AAATATCATGGCTTGTGTCAGGCGCACCTTAGTCCTCAAGGAGATATCCTTGCTCCTCAGCACTTGAAACAGTTCCTTCGCAGTTGACTTTTCCAATGCTACACGTCGTCTAATGTCCTGACTGCTGCTTCCGTTGGCATCGAATGTAGAACCATATTCTAATTTCCCCACTTTGCCAATAAGTAACTTTATATGCATTTTGCCTCCAATTCAGTCCATTTTACTCTTAAAGGAACTTATTTAGAAATTGTTAGAAGTGTAGAAATTGTTAGAACTGTAGAAATTGTTATACTTTTCAGAAAGCAACTTGGCAGAAGAGCCTTTAGGTGATTCTGCTTCTAGAAATCCATGCCAAGAATATGCTCTAAAACCATGACAGATTTAGACACAAAATGTTAATGTTAATCACAGTGGTATTTATGATATTGAAAACTGGACATAACCTAAGTGGCAAATCAGAGAGCAACAGTTAAGTAACTTTTGAGACAGCTATATAACAAAATATTATGTAGCTATTAAAGTACTTATGAAGACTTTAAATATGTGGGGAAGCGAATATGATATTGTTATGGATTGAACTGTGTCCCCCAAAAAATGTGTTGTAAATCCTAACCTCTATGCCTGTGGTTATAATCCTATGTGGGAATGGGTTGTCTTTGTTATGTTAATTAGGGAGGATTAGTGTAGGATGTGTCTTGAGTTCATCTCTTTGGAGATCTAAAAGAGATTAAACAAGCAAATAAGTAAACAGAGACATGGAAAGACAGATGCCAAACAACATCAAGCTCACCCAAGGTGGAGAAAATAAATTTCTTTTGTTAAAGCCATACATTTATGGTATTTCTATTATAGCAGCACTAGATAACTAAGACAGAATTAAAGGGAGAAAAATAGGATAGTAAAATGTATATAGATTGTATCAGCTAGGCTTAGAAGGAAAAAGTGAATGGATGAAAAAAACCAAAATATTATTAGTAGTTGTGAAAACACAGGTGATTTTCCTTTCCGTTCTTCTACATCTCTTTATTTCCAGTCCTCTCCATCCATCTACTCATACAATGGCCAAATATAGATTATATTTAGAAAATAAATAATATTTTAAATCATAAAGTTTTCATGCTATCTTCCTACAATCAATTAACCTATTAATCAAGTGCTTATTAACTAGCCCTGTAAATGTTAACTCAGTGATATACTCCAGTAGTTCCCAAATTTTGCTATATGGGAATCATTTAGTGATTCTGAAAAATTACTGATGTCCACCTCCCATTTCCAAACATTTCAATTTAAATGATATGGGGTGTGACGTAGGCTTCAGGATTTTTAAAACTGGGAGCAACAAAGTTTGGAAACCAGTGATGTAATTCATACTGCCACTAGCAAGGACAAGCCTATATTTCAAACGTCTACCATCCATCAGTTTGTTGTACTATGGTAGCTTGTATATTGCAATAATACTGGAAACTATGTCACCAGTATTTTCAAATGCCAGCAGCATAGCCCAATGATAGACAAGTTTCAACAGAGTTTTCAGATTAAGACAGATCAGGAAGAAAGATGTAGTGATTTACTTTAGAAAATTAGCCCATGAAAACTCTATGGGAAAGAACAGAATACCAACTGGACTCAAAACATCACGAAGATGGCTCAGTACCAGGCAACAGTTCTTTCTGTTATCCATAGGTCACCATGAGTCGGAGCCAACTTTCAAATTTACATTTATCCTCTCAGTTCTGATTAAAACAGCTGGAAAACTATGATTTTCATTTTGAAGCCTGAGAATATTGATCCCATATTGTTCTTTTAAAAAAAAACACCAATATGCTCTATACAACTACTTTAAAAGTGGCACCAAACTCCAGCAACATTCTCAGTTTACAATGTCTGTTACCAAACAGTCATCCTTCATTAAATAGTTCATCACTTACCTTTTATTGTTATAGGGCATGTTTTCCCAAATTTCCGGAGGCACATAATAAGGTGTTCCCACATATGTACAAGCAAATGCCATGGGACTGAAACCAAAAAAAAGCAAAGAATGGTTATGGAGCATTCCTGAACAATGGATATTCTGATTACTGGTGCTACTATAGAAGAGAAATACATACTTGGAGAGAAGACGAGCCGATCCAAAATCTCCCAATTTTACATTTCCATTTTGGGTGAGGAAGATATTCTGCATTAAAAAAAAAAAAGAGTTTAGTTATCTCTTCCACCATTCAAAAATGTGGCAGAGGTCTCTGGAGAAGGTGTCTTTCAAAGCTGTTTTAATTAGAACTGAGAGGAGATAAAGGTAAATTGGAAAGTTGGCTCTGACTCACGGTGACCTACGTATAACAGAAAGAAGTGCTGCCTGGTACTGAGCCATCTTTGTGATGTTTGAGTCCAGTTGGTATTCTTCTTTCCCATACAGTTTTCATGGGCTAATTTTCAAAAGTAAATCACCACACCTTTCTTCCTGATCTGTCTTAATCTGAAAGCTCTGTTGAAACTTGTCCATCATTGTCAATGATGTCAATCAATGGTAGACATGCTGAGAGCTGACTGCCTGAATGTAACACAAAAGCAAAGATACCCTCTTGACAGCTATACCTCCTCCCTTTGGGAATCTGGATGACTGCTTTGAAATCCAACAAGTGATTTTCAAGTTTTATCAGTTGATCTGATCGACCAACTGGGAAGCTGTGTCAGGGTAACTCCACACAGCATGCTCAGTTTATGCCCATTTTCCATTTGAGAGCACATGGGATTAGTAAGTGGTCACTAAAAGAGCTTGGAACATATTAACATATGCTACTAAAGACACTTTCAAGATCTTTTGTTAGTGTGCAGAATCACCTTACTTAAAAAGGTACGAAACAATTTGTTCCGTGTTTTGGTTCCTGAGAGATAACCCATGTAATTTCCTGAGTAATTGAGGTAACTTAGTTAATCTAAATAAAAGCTGAGGATCTGTGCTAATGAGTAAAGGCTGGCTGTACAAGAAAGATCACCTGGTAGCCCAATAACAACTAACCTTAGGAGGCATGATTTAACCTATCATGCATATGCAATAAAGCCTCAATCACAGTCAAGATTAAAGCCAACAAAGGCTCTGAAAATGAAATCTCCAGGAGCTCCCCGGCGGGTAAAGGGAGGGTGACACACCCTCTTCAGGATATGGAAACTTCACAGTGGAACCCTCCTAGACCTTGCCCATACACATCTTCCTTATGATCTTGATTTGGATCTTTTTCCTGTAATAAATCTGTAATTTTAAGTATAGTACTTTCTGTGAGTTCTGTGAGTTGGTAAAGTGAATTACTGAACCCAAAGGTGCAGTAGGATCTATAGGTGAAAGTGAGGGAATCCAGGAGACAGCCTTAAACTTGCAGCTGTTGTCCTCAAGGGGTAATAGAAAACTCCAAATCTGGAGAATCCAGATCAGAAGTAAGGGTATCATATGGACTCCCAAGTTTGTGGCTGAAGGCTTTGCAGCATGAAGTATAGTGTGCTTTCAAGTTGTGAGCTCCAACGTATCTCAGGGTGGCTGGGGCAGAGAGAGAAAGAATGCCACGTGGGTGGCTGTTGTCAAAGATGACAGTAACAATAGGAATAGAAGGGAAATTCCTCAACATAATAAAGGGCATATATGCAAAACCAACAGCCAACATTATTCTCAATGGAGAGAGACTGAAACCATTCCCCTTGCGAACAAGAACCAGACAAGGATGCCCTCTATCACCACT